AGCATATTCTTAGAAAACTATGTTGCTTTTTATCTTTGATGTTTTCTTGAATAAATTGAATAATTATCTGACCAGTTATATTTGAGAAGAATGGTAAGAGTACCTCTAATCTTAACATTTTAACTAGTGCAAAATGTCATAGGCTTCCTGCACATTTAAGTGGCACATAATTATCCAAATAAGAAAAATTTACCATGATCTAATGAAAAAGAGCATAACTCAATGTAAGTATATCTTTGATTAAATGGGCAAATAAAAATATGTTATGTGAAATCCTTCCTCTGGTATCTATAAAGGAATACATACAGCTGATTAATATTAAATTCTATAAATCCAGACCAGATTTACTATAATTGGCCAATGAAAAGACAAAAACTCCTGTGATCATTGAGAAAAGACATTTATCCAACATCTCCAACAGTGGACAAATAAATATTTTCAGTCTCATATTTTAAATTACTATCAAAATATTGTATCTTTCTACAAACAACAAAAAAACCCTAGCATACAGTATCTAGAAATGTTTCTCTGACAAGAATGTCAAGTTTTTGAACGTACACTCAAATTTTTTTCCTGAATAAAGTCACTATAATCTTCGGTCAAACTTACTGTAAGCAGTTCAAGCAAAAATGAATATTGCTTAGATTATAAAGCAAGCAATTTTGATACTGTAATTAAAATATATGTATAAATGTGAAACTATTGTGGAATATTTCAAACACTTTTTGGGAACATTCACAGATCAGCAAGTAATGGAATAACTGATTTAAACAAAACAAATGTGACATAATATGTAAGGTTTGGTGACAAATCCAAAAATATCTTTAATTGCTTTAAAAGAACTTAAAAACACAGCTTTATCTTTCTGTGTTTGAAAATCCAGCAGCAAAACAAACTATTTGCATATAATGTAGTGCAATAGCATTTATTTGAAAGAGAGTCCCAAAGTCTTGAAACTATTATACATAAGCTAGAATGGAATCCATTAGAATAAATGATTTAAAGATGTCCAGAGTAGTTTATCAAGAACTGTTAGACACTCTCACCTGGATCACTGAATCATAAGCAAGTTTATGTAAAACTGTGTTCTGGATAACTGACTCTTATGGCTCCCCAGTAACAAGCTCGGATAAAGCAGATCAAACCTAAGAAATAAGCAATGGCCCAAGAAATGTAGGTTGCATGAAATTGTCTTTCAAAATCTTGGGTGCCAACAGTTAATCCAACTCCAATGAAAATACTTATCATTCCAATGGTAATGTATGCACAGCAGTGCCTTCGTGGAAGTGCACTACCCACTGAAGAGATTTTTTTGCAGTGTGGGCACTTTGCCAGAGTGTTGAACCTCAGTTCCATCCACAGGAATGTGTTTCCACAGTGGCCACACACGACCCTTGTACCTTCTGGTTGTACTGGCAATGCAGGTTGAGCTGGCTGTTATTCAGAAATAAGCATTACTAGACCAAGGTTAATTATGCGTCTACAGTTAGGTCTCGGACATCCTATTCGCAGAGATGTGTCCTTACAAATGAGGAGACAATTACAAGGGCATCTAACATATTTCTTCCCTGTTGGGGGGTTTTTGACTGGCGTAGCTTCATTGCAAACCGTGCATTTAACCACATGTTGGTGAAGTTTGCCATCCAAATTGATTAGAGATTGGCACACGCGGCAGTTGATTACAGGAATACCACTGGCATCTGGACTGGCAATGGCTGTATATGGAGGTGGGAGTTCTGCTCTGGGGCTGCTTTCTTGCAAGTATGGCGGAGCAGCGGGAGTGACATTCCCCGAGTGGGCTGCCGACAGCAGGGGCGAGCGTTCGTCCACCCCATCAGCAGCCACGACTGCGGCCAGGCCGGAGGAGCGGGCCGGGCGCAGCGGAGGCGGAGGAGGAGGAGAAGGAGGAGGCCAGCACTGCCGCGGCCGCCCGGAGGCCCGGGCTGTCACCAGCCGGGAGGCGGGGGACGAGGGCGGGGAGGCATTGTGGGGGAGGGGCGGGGAGGGGAGAGGAAGACAGGGCGGGGCGGGGAGCAGGGGGAGCAGAGAGGAGGGGGCCCGGCCCGCCTAGAGCAAGGACTACCTGTGTGATCTTGTGCAGCTTTTTACTTAGCCTCTCAGTGCCACCATTCCCTTTTCTATAAAATGGAAATGATAACAATACCTGTTCACAGGATGGCTGTGAGAGCAGAGTTAATACATATAAAGCCACAGTGTAAATTCATATGTGTAAAGAATAGTATCTGCTTATGCTAGGTCCTGTAATTATTTTGTTATGAAAATAGTGATTATAGTCATTATAATTTTATATCTGGAGATAAACTGGTTAATAGAAGCAATTCCATTGACTAAAGGTTTTAATCAAAAGCATTGTGATCTTAATTGTTTTATTATTAATTTGTGACTAGCTGATATATTGGAAGCCTTCCCTTTGGAAATTGAAATTCTGATTCATTACCTAACATGCTATGTGACTCTTGGAGAGTTCTGTTTTACTGTGTATCGCATCCTAACTGTAGAGCTTTTTAAGGATAAAAGAAACTTTCCCAAATGTTGAATAATTCTTACCTAGAGTTCTTTCTCACCAGGTATATAGTGGCAGCAGCCCCCAGCAGGCAGTGTTTCACAGTCTGCTGCTTAAGCAAAATGTGTCTCTCCTTAGCCCTGACTTACTAGGTACTTTATCTCTTCCGAGTGTTGACAAGGCTGGGCTAAATAAGGTAGTGAGAAGAGAAATACAGGTGTAACCAGAATAGCATACTTGTCAGGGAGGAGAGTACCTATTGCTGATAAATCAAATCATGAATCTTGCCACAGGGTGACACTGTTGAAATGGCTCTGTCAAATGAATTCTATCAAAGTATTCAGTTTTTATTTATCACTCTTTTCTGTCTTAATGGGAAAATACATTAGTCTCACAAATTGAAATATGACTTAAATTACTCAAACGACTGATTTCATGTATTTTCACAGTTCTAAAATGTTTCTGACAATTAAAAACATTTCCTCCCTGGGAAATTTGCACAGACTCATATAACTTGCCTTCTTTTCCCTTTCCCAACACTCTGTGATGAGTATAAGTAGAGATCATATCCTGAATAACTAACGATGCATTAACAAGTAGATAGCCCTATCTGTTCATGCATGTTACAGCTACATAGCACAAAGCCATTTTGGTTAGCTCATCTAAAATGGAAACCAAAAATATCTGCTTCCTGTGTGTTCCACAAGGCACTTTCAATGTGGTTGACTGTTTGGAAGAAAAGTGTTTAAAAAAACCCAAAAAAACAAACAAAAAAAGAAAAGTGTTCAAGAGCTATTATGAGTATTGATTTTTAATTAGAATTCTTCCTCAACCTTCTAGAATCAGGAAAAGCCATCACATATGGACATAAACCAGTCTTTGAGCTCAATTACAATCCCTATCACATGCCTATATGTTCGCTCCATTTATTTCTATCTCCAGTTTTTCTGTTTCCTTGTCCAGCTTATGGCATAAGTAATTGAATTAACACATGATATATACTTGGTTTCTCATTTGCCTGGCAGTCTTCAGCTCTTGCTGAAGGAAGCGTCAGCTGATACTGAGCAAAACTAATGAAGAGATAAGAGGTGCTGCTGGAGCAGAGGCCAAGTGATCTAGAGAAGACTCAGTCCAACCCAGCTGCAAATACAAGCAACAGCACCCTCACCAAGATGCTGCAGAGTTAAGGCCAAACAGCTCCAAGTATCCCAGTCACTTTGGAAATGCAGGGAACATTCTTCCTCAGAGCATCATTTTACCATTTAGGTGCCATTTCCAAAGAGAGGCTACCTGTCTTGGACTCAGGATTTCAGAAGAAAAAAGTGGAGAAGGCCAACAGACTGATCATTTTCTCCTTACATAGGCCATATCCCAAATTAGCACAGGGAACCCCAAGATGCTGATAAAATACTTAGAGCACAAGGGTCACATATTAATGTTAATGTTAAATGTCCGTGTGTGATGGATTTTTCTCCTTCTGAAAAACTGAGGAATATTCCTAATTAAAAATCAATACTCAATGATGGCTCCTAAAGACTTTTCTCCCAAATGCTAATGACACTGAAAGCTCCGTATAGATTTCACAGGAAGCAGGTATTTTGCTTTCCATTTTAGATAAGTTAATTAAAACTGTCTATGTGTCATGTAGCATTAGCATTCTCATTAAGTGATTTTTCTTTTTTGAGACAAGACTATATAGTCCAGGCTGGCCTTGAACTCACTAGGTACCCCAGGCTAACAGCAATCCTCCTGCCTCAGCCTCCTCAGTGCTGAGATTACTGGCATGTACCACCATGCCTGGCTTGTTAAGTGATTTATAATACATGTTAGCACATTAAATGCCCTGAGATGCCAAGTACAAAAAAAAATTTAAATTTATCTGTAAGATAAAGAAATTTTTGAGAAAACTTTTTGGATTTTTCCAAACCTCTGTTAACAGCCCTAGAAGAACATTTCTTTATTCCCAGTTTGAGAAATATTCACACAGAAAATAAAAATAATCTTCCAACATTAGGTTTCCCTTGTGCAGTAAATGTATATGAAATTACTTTCAAATACTACAAGTGCTTATAATTGATCCATTGGGAAGAACAACAGGAAAGCAAAGGAGAATAAACAGTAATATTTGTAGTGAAGCCTTGGAAAACCCAAGAAAAGAAGACAGTAAACTGTGCAGAGATGTTGGTGTGGTGTATAAAGGAGAGGCTGGCTCCATAAGCTTTAGCTCAAGGCCATCATGACAGAGCTGGTATTTGGAAAGAGCTCTGGGAAGTTAAGGAGAAGATATCCTGAATAACTAACTCAATGCATGCTTACAGTATCATAATATACAAGACATTCTGAGTCCCACAGGCTCTGCATCTACCTTCAAATTTCAGTCACTCAAGAGGATGGCAGGCTAACTCTTTGAGAAACTCCAAGTGCCACACATTGAAATAACATCAAACAAGGTGAAAAATCTACCTGGCATGGCGTAATAACAGACAAATAGAAGCTAAATTTTCTTTAAACACTGTGTTAATTACTTTTCTGTCATTGCTGAGATAAAATACCCAACACTGAAAGTTAAAGGAGGAAAGATTTATTAAGCTTACAGTTCGTAGAGGTTTCAGTCTTATAGATGGCTAATTCCAAGGCAAAGTGCCACATGACAAAAGGGCATCTCAGAGGAGAACAACAGTTGATTGTGCCCACAGGATAGCAAAAGCAACAAGGGACCTTAACAGCATCTTTCTGCCCCTTTTACTTATTCAGACTACTTAGAGTGGGTAGTGCCCTTGGGCCTAGCCCTCCCATGAATTAGTCACACACTCTAGATTCAGCCACTTCTGAAAAAGTATGAGGCTTTGGGGAGACATCTAAACACAAGCTGTAACAAACACAATCACATCTTGTTCCCTACCCCCCAACACCAGTAAGTCCTTCAAAGCCCTGATTTACAAAATAAGTCTTAATAGATTTTCCTGCAGTATTAGTTCTGGCACATAACCTCGGAATCCAGGATGGGGAAAGTAGTTTTCCTGCTTGATGGTTCAAAACACACCACTGGAACTGATCAAGGACATGTCCAGGACACACAGCATGGAGTCAGAAGAAATAGAGAGTTAGAAGACAGAGCCACTTGGGTGGTCAGGTCATTATTCCTCTGTGGCTGCCTGTGCTCTCCCGCCTCTGGGAATTAACTGGTATCCATTAACATATTTGCTTCCCATTGCTTGCTGCTGCCTTGTGTGTTCAGCATGCGGTTCTTTTATAGGAGGATGGTCGGTATGAAGGCCCAACTTTAGCTCATGCAGTGGAGTTGTTTGGTGGCAGACGGTGGAGTACTCGAAACCCCAGCCCTGGAACATCAGCAAAGAATGCTGAGAAGCCCAATATGCAGAGAAACAACACCCTGGGCATAAGCACCACCAAGAAAAAGAAGAAAATCCTCATGAGGGTAGAGTGGTATTTGTTTATTAAGCAACACACCCAACCTTCCAGGACTATCTTGTGGTTTATATCACCATAAGCCACCTTACATCATTTGAGTTGGGGATAAGGTGAGGTATAAAACAAATAATACAAGAGCTTTCCAGAGACCTCTTGAGTGCCAGGGCCTATGCCAGGAACCAGGCAAGGTTCACAGAAGGACACAGAAATATAAACAAACAGTGCAATTTAAATAAGAGTCATTGTCAGGCATCTGTATAGTCCTATAAGAGCAGAGAGAAGGAATATACAAGCTGAGAGACTAGTAGAGAAGACCTCACAGAGCAGTTGACAGATGGGTCTTAAAGGGTATATAGGAAAACAATAAATAAATAAATAAATAAATAATTTTTAAAAAAGGGTATATAGGAGTTTACCAAGCAGGCAATGCAAAGGAAAGCATCCCAGCAGAGGAGAAAGTGGAGCCGCATGGAGACTTGGCTTGCTTGGGGAAGCACATGCCATTCTAGGGGGCTGGAGCATGAGTTCTGTGGTGGGTAGGGAAGGGCTAGAAAAGAAGAAGAATCACTTATGAAGGCCCTACAGGGCCATGTTACATGTACAACACAATTTAAAATATATTATCACTATATATTATAAGTTATATATTATCACTATATCATGATAATGTTGTTGTTCATGGCTATCTGAAAAAATAGCCCATTCTTTCATATGGGAGGCTGTTGATGATTAGTAGGACTTTATCTGCTTCACAATTGTGTCTAGACACAGAGATTCCAGGGTTTGTGGGCCACCTCTTTCTCCCTCCCTCCCTGAGGAATGCTGCTTTAGAATGAAGCACGAATTAGATAATGTGACATGAGAATTCCTGGTGCACCTTAACATAGGTCTTTATTACTCTTACCAGGAGGAGATAGTATTGAAGGTGGGTAGATTCAAATAGAGTCCTGCCTGAACTAACACAGTGATGGGAAGGAAATAGTCTGGGAGTCATCATGAGCTTTGTGTTCCCAGGGTGAGAGTGGAGAGGCAACTGATGATGAGATGACAACCCGAAAAGCCAAAATGCAGAAAGAGTGTCGAAGCCGGAGTGGTTCTGATCCTCAAGACATTAATGAACAAGAAGAATCAGGTAACACAGCTGTTCACCTCTGAGATCTTTCTTTTTTAGTTTTCAGGGGGAAATACACATTTGGATTTAAGCTGTGATTTAACTGTTGTGGAATTCCTAAACAAAATTATATTTTTAGACATACCTTTGTTTTTAACCAGATGATAAAACCTATAAGTTCTTTTATAGGTATAATGTACTTGGAAGTTAATGAATTTATCATATAAGCCCAGAATATTAGATATACAAGGTATAATTTGATGGATTAGATCAGTCATTCTCAGCACTGGATATATAATAGAGCTTTTGAAAATATGTCTGGATGTCCTGGCCACACCCAAGACCAACTGATGTAGATATTCTCTGGCTGGAACCTGGGCATCTGTGTATTTTTAAACTCTCTATTGGTGATTTTTTAAACTCTCCATTGGTGTTTTTTAAACTCTCCAGATGGTGCAATTAGTCTATTCATCAAACATACTTTGATGTTTCTTATACAGAAGCTGGTTTCCATATAGAAATAGATTGCATATATTGGTTTGCTGAGACATCCAGAAGTATCTTCAGTTTGTATTTGATTTCTAAGGGAAAGTGTAATCTGAATCATTGTCTTTTTTCTGTCTTTCACCTTCACAGAGGCTAATGCCATCACTGGTCCTCCCAATCCCCTCCCTTCAAGAAGAGCTCATTCTTTGACCACAGCTGGGTCCCCCAACTTGGCTACTACACTATCTTCTCCCATCAGGCCAGTCTCCTCCCCTGTGCTGTCTTCACACAAGAGTCCGTCCAGGTGGGGCCTTAACATGATAAAACAGAAGGACCCTTCTCATCATTTCAGTTGTGTAGAAGGGCATGTTCTGTGCTTCCAATTATCTGTTGGAAGACTGTCTCTAATTTTGACTTATAGGTAAATTAAAGACTGAAAGCCACCAAATTTTAATTATTCTAATAATTTTCCTGATTTATTCTCTTGCTTTTTCATATTACTATAACTGCCCCTAATTATTTGAAAGACCAGTCCTTCAAAGGTCATTAGCAATAATAAAACTCAATCTGTGATTCTGTAAATCTTTACTGTTCAATACTGTAGTCACTAACATTATATGGGTATTTAATCAAAATAACATTAAATTTAAAAATCAGTTCTTTAGTCACAGTAGCCACATTTCAAGTGCTCCACAGCTACAAACAGCTAATGGTTACTATTCTGAATGCTACAGGCAGAGAACATTTCTATAATTGGAAAAATTCTGTTGGATAGCACCACCTTAAATGAAGAATAAAGTTTTAGTGTAAGCTACCTGACCGTTTGCTGATTGATGAAATATATTTAATACTTTCTTCATATGTTAGAAAAGTTATACATGCCTGGAGAAATGAATGCAAACATTACAGCAAGTTAGATATAATTCTAAATCTGGTATTATAGTAAACTGTTACACAAGGACCATACAAATTGGAGGTTCAAAACAAAATCTATCCTCTCAGAAGAAATAATATAAAAATGAAAGGCTTCCAAAGGGAACCAGAATGTGACTCCATTTCCCTCCACCTATATATTTCAAATAAAGTTAAAGAAATTCAGAGATTCCAGACAGAACCGAAATTAAACAATTGCTCTTCACTTTCTCACACAGAGGAGTGGGTCTGAGCAGACACTGGGTTTGATTTCATTCCCCCCATATACATTTATAACAATTTATAAAAGTTATAAATTGTCAGAATTCTTCATGTTAAAATTTAGGCCTATGCAGGACCTTGGGTAAATAAAATAAACATATTACTTGAATTAAGTGACTTTTATCTTTATTTCAGTCACCCATGAGCAGGAGAAGGAAGGACAGAGTGTAAGAGAGAAAAAGAGTTTGAAAGAGAAACTAACATGCCAGATCCAAGGTCAGAGGGCCCAACCACATGAGGACAGAGATCAGTGGCCACTACAGTATTCCAAAATAGGAAGAAAAGACAAGACAGAAAAAGAAAAACTAGCCCAAATACTGTTCAAGGAGAAAGCAAGACTAAGTCCTAAATCCAGTGGGAGAAAGAGTGAACATAGCTTCCTAGAGTCAAAAAGAGATGATCCCTACAGAAAAGAGACAGGCCGCTAGAAAGAAGAAAGATAAAGAATCACTTATTTAAATACAAATGATGAAGCTAATTTTTCCCTCTCCCTGAACCCACAGCCTGTTTCCCACTCCACATTGACTTTCAACAGCCTATGCCTCCGCAGTACTATTAATCTATCAATTTGTTATACTGTTCCATTGAAGGAGGTGACCTTCAGATGTCAACACAAAATAATTTTCCATGAGCAAACATTGTTAGTAAGATTGAGATTAGATTGCCTATTCATTATATCTGTATTTTCTTGTATATTTGGAATATTTTTTAAAATCCAAGACAAAAAAGAGAAAGATCTTACCCTCTGATTTGACTAAAAAACATAGTCAAAACATTTTTTATTATTCTTCGAGAAAACAGTTTAAAAATTTTTAAATGTAAAACAGTGAAACTAAATTTTTGACTGAGTTGACTGGCATTTTTATACTGAATGGATGCAGCTTTGACAGGTGCAAATATAATCCTGGGTGGAATTGGCTTCTTTCCATTCTTAATATTTTTCTGACTCATACTTTCCATTAGTATTAAAAGCTCTTCTCTGTTTGTTTTCATTGAAGAACTAGTTAAGAAATAAAAAGAGAAGACATTGATGCATTCAAAACTTTCCTCTTAAATGTGTTCCTATAATTTAAAATATAGAAAAGAACATGTGTTACTTTCCATAAATTATGATTTATTTGCAGCTCTTTTTTAAAAAAGATTTTTCTTGAGATCCACTGAATTTAGGACTTTGTTTCCTCCCATTGATTTCTGATTTCAAAGAACTATTGGATTAGTTGAGGAATTTTAAACTCACTCTTGTGCCCTCATTAAACAGGCTGCAGAAACAAAGTGGTTTCAATAGGTGATGTTTATTTCCTCTGACACAATCTGGAGTAAGAGATCTAAAGAGAATGTACAGATAAATAGCAGCAACCTAAAATGTCTTTTTTACAGTGCCTGGAGCAGCAGCAGTTGGCATGGGCGGATCAAAGGCGGAATGAAGGGGTTCCAGAGCTTCATAGTTTCAGACAGTAACATGAGTTTTGTTGAATTTATTGAGCTGTTCAAGTCTTTCAGGTATGGCACAGGCTTCCTCCTTACTTTTTCTCAGGCCTACATTTTTATAACAGTACTAAATGGGAGGTATTGTCCATCCCTTGCTCAGTGTGAGGAGCCGCAAGGACCTGAAGGATCTCTTCGACGTCTACTCTGTGCCCTGCAACCGATCAGGCTCCGAGTCAGCCCCCCTCTACACCAACCTGACAATCGAGGAAAGCACCAGTGACTTTCAGCCTGATCTAGGTTTGTTTAACATTTTAGGATTTCCTTTTGAGACTTTTCAGTCTAAAAATCAAGGTCAGTGATCCAATCACACAAACTCAGCCTGTCCCGCATGGCACACTGTTACTTGGAGCCAGGTGAAGCAAGAATTTTTCAAGGGGTCATTTGGTGTTCTGGGGGAAGATGCTATGGTCATGTTGGACAAGGAACCTCATCTTTGTGTGATTCTGCCCGTTATTCCAGGATATTTAACCAATAGTGAATGCCTTCAAAACATTCTGACAACCAAAAACCCTTTCCCAACCATTTCCGAATGTCCATGAGGTACGTTAAGTTTCATAGTTGAGAAATACCAGTCTTTTTTTTGCGGTACCGGGGATCAAAGTCGGGTCCTTGCGCTTGCACAGCAGGTGGCGAAACCACTGAACTAAATCCCCGGCCCAGGAATACCAGTCGTATGCCTACTTACAGGCAGGAGATTACTCGATGCCAGGGCAGTAGTTGCCTGCTCTTTGACAAGGAGAGTCTTTGACTATCTAGGACATATTTTCTACTATGTAAAACAGAATGTCTCTCTCTTCTTTTCCACTTATCAGCACCACTGCCATCACCTCTCAGGATTTCAGCCACTGCTACATTTAAAACCTATTAGGGCCAGGGATTTAGCTAACTAACTAACTAAATAAATAAATAAAACCTATCATTTTTCTCCTCATTCTTGCTGGAGCTATAAACACTAAAAAGCAAAGAAAAAAACTCTTTTTGATGCAGTTTCTTCAAAATTATTTATAAACCAATGTCCTTAGACTATTGTTGGACAGCTATTAAAATATGCATACCTATTCATTAGTCAAATAATTACACTTTTAAAAAATTATTAGATTTTACTTTGTAGAGGAATTTTTAGTTTATTGAAGAATGAGTTGAAAGTACTGTACAGAGTTCACATGTAGTAAGCTCTACACCCCTGTGTGTGTGCACACACACACACAAACACACTGACTTTCCTTGATTAGTAATATCTTGCATTAGTGAAGTATATGTTACAGTTGAGTTCATAGTGACACATTATTGTTACCTGAAGCCCATAGTTCATGTTAGTGTTCACTCTTGGGTTGTATATTCTGTTTTGTCCAATGTATAATGTAGACACTATAATAGTATCACACAGAATACTTTCACTACCCTGAAAATCTTTTTCCTACCTTTTCATCCCTTCCTTCTTTCCTCCAAATCCCTGATAAACAGTGATTATTTTTACTGTCTCCATAATTTTGCCTTTTCCAGATGGTTATATCATTGGAATCATACAGTATGCAGAGTTTTGAGACTGGCTTCTTTCATTTAGCAATGTGCATTTAAGTTCCCCCCACACCTTTTTTGCAGGGTGATGATTCATTTCTTTTGAAAACAAAAAATATTTCATTGTGTACATTACCACAATTTGTTTATCAGTTCACCTACTAAAGGATATCTTGGATGCTTCTCTTAAGTTTTAGCAATTATGAATAAGGCTACTGTAACACTAGAATGCAAGTTTGTATATAGACATAAGTCATTTGGGTAAATATCTAAAAGGCAGTTCTTGGATCATGGTGGGCCTATGTTCAGCTCTATAAGAAACTGCTGGCTGGGCATGGTGGTGCATGCCTGTAATCCCAGAACTTGGGAGGTTGAGGCAGGCTACATCGTAAGTTTGAGGCCAGCCTGAGCTACATAGTGAGACACTATTTCAGCAAAATAAAAGGAAGGAAGGGAGGGACTTCCAGAGGATCTTACAATGGCTAAAATTAAAATGACTGGCCATACCAAAGTTGATGTGAATGTGGAACAATTAGAACATTAGTACATTGCTGGTGGAAATGTAAAATGGTACAGCCATTTTGCAAGACAGTACAGCAATTTCTTGGTAAATGAAACATACACTTTCCATATGATCCAGCAATTATGCTCTTTGATAATTTACCCACATGAGTTAAAAAGTTGTATTCACACAAAAACCTATATACAAAGGCCTACAGTCACAGTTTTATAGAAAACTTTTAATAGACTTAAAACTTAAGAGTTTTAACAGTTTTAAGAATATATTTTCAGTCCCTATGAAAAGAAAAATGTTGAAATCTAAAGATGGGTGAAGTGGTGCACACCTGTAATTCCAGCTATTTGAGAGGGTGAGGCAGGAGGATGGCAAGTTTCAGGCTACCCTGAGAAACTTAGTGCGGCCTTGTCTCAGAAATTTAAAAAATTGGGGTCGGGGATTTAGCTCAGTGGTTCCCCCACCTGCCTTGCAGGCGGAAGGACCCAAGTTCGATCCCCAGTACCAAAAAATAAATAAATAAATAAATTTAAAAAATAAACAAGAAAGGGCTGGGAACATAGTTCAGTGGAAGAGCATTTGCCTAGTATATTTGAGGCCCTCAGTTCAATCCTGAAAAAAATAAATGAAAATCTGAATTTGGCCTCTAATCCTCAGCTGAATCTACAGATTTCCCAATAGAATACTAAAGTTTATGAGATTTCAGTATTCTCAACCTCGCTCTTTCTTTATGTATTCCTTGATTTGTCTTTTAGTCCCTCACCTCTATGAAGCAAGGAATAAGCACTAAGCTTCATGGTTTGTATGGAGAGCTTAGTAAAAAGCTTGTCCGGTTTAATGATTCTATGACATCATTATTTTCAAAATGAGCTTTGTGAACGACGGTGGCTAGACAAGGTTCTATAGTCTGTGATGGCTCTATTTCAGATTTGTTAACCAGAAATGTCTCGGACTTGGGGTTGTTCATTAAGAGTAAACAGCAACTGTCAGACAACCAGAGGCAGATATCTGATGCCATTGCCGCTGCAAGCATTGTGACAAATGGCACTGGGATTGAGAGCACATCCCTGGGCATATTTGGGATTGGCATACTCCAGCTCAGTGACTTCCTAGTGAATTGCCAAGGAGAACACTGCACTTATGATGAAATCCTCAGTATCATCCAGGTGTGTGCCATTTTGTCTGTGCCTGTGTGTTCACTGCCTCTAACTACTTCTAATTTGCTGCTAAACATTTTCTATACTTCTTTCCAAAAGCTTCCTGTGTGGAGAAGAAATAGAATGGCTTATTTGTTTGTTTTTGTTTTTGAAATACCAAGTATATCAGTGTTCTTTAACTTTGGTCTCAGGCTGTCTCTGACTCAGTGACTATTATAAAGAATCACTGCATGAATTCTTGTTATTCTAGCACATATAATAGAATTACTGTAGGTTTTCCACCTCTTTTGTCATTTAGCATATATTTATTTAGCTCCTACTATATAGTTTCTGTTCTGGGAATTAGAGCTATAGTAGTGAATAAAATCAAAGTGCTGGCCCTCCATGCAGCTTATATTTTAGTGGGTGAGGCAGACAATAAGCAAAAGATATAGTGTAACTTTAGGTAGTAACAGATTATGAGCAAAGTCAAGCAGAGTAAGGTCATAGAGTGATGCAGGGAGGCTGAGGAGGAATAAGGAAAAGCCACTATGAGGAGGACGCATTTGGACTGAGCACTAAATGGTAAGGTCCACATACCACATGAAGTTCAAAGGAAGGAACATTCCAAACCGGCAGACAGGAAGCTGCAAGCTCAAAGACTGAGTCAGCAGTGAGCTCAGGGTTTGTGAGGAATAACAAAAAAGTGAATGTACTGGGAGCTGCATAAGGGAGGCAGAGGATGCAAGCACAATTTCAAATTGTATCTGTGGGCCAAACATTTAGGCCTTTTGAACCATGGGAAGGAGGTTGACTTTAGTCCATGTGAAATGGCAAGCCTTTAGAAATTTTTGAGCAGGAGAGTAACATGATTTATGTTTTTAAGACGTCACTCTGTCCCCACTGGGAAATAAACTGTGTTGGTGAAAGATGGAAGCAGAGAGACTGGTCAGGAGGCTCTCACAGTAGCCCAGACAAGAGGTGGGGATGGTTTAGAATAGAATATGGCAGGAGAGAGGGTGGTAAAACTTCAGGGTGCCTGTCAAACAGAATTAGTTTCATCATCTGATTGGGTGTCTGGGGATTAGCTGTGGGCAATTGGATATGATCACTAAAAATGTAAGAGTATTATCACATTGTTGAGCACTCACTGTAAGATAATGACTCCAGGCGCTAGACTACATGCTGCATGCAAATCATCTCGTTCATGTCCCACCAACTTCATGGTAGCTGCTATTATAATCCACATTTTCACATGGATATATGGATAGATGTTGTATTCATATAAATCAGCCTTGTCCTTTTCTCTTGCTCTCCCTTTCTCTCCTAAATAAATATGCTTAGTATGATAAACTCACATATAATAAATATTTTCTTTTGGACTGAAAACTACATCTTACTGCTACATTACTAAATTAGTTCAAATATTTGGCTTAGATGTTTCCTGATGAAAACAGAACAATTTTAAAAAATGATGTGGTGATTTTTTTCTCCCTCTTTGTTTCCTTTACCTAAATAATATTTTTTTTAATTCCTTGCAGAAGTTCGAGCCTAACATCAGTATGTGTCATCAGGGTCTAATGTCATTTGAAGGATTTGCAAGGTAACTTTTAGATTATCTTTTGGCTGTCATTTAAGAGTATACATTGCTCTCATGAGATCTTAAGAAAATGTGTTTTATCTAGGTTTCTCATGGATAAAGATAATTTTGCTTCAAAAAATGATGAGTCACAGGAGAACATAAAAGAATTGCAGCTACCCCTCTCCTACTATTACATTGAATCTTCCCACAATACCTACCTCACAGGCCATCAACTCAAAGGAGAATCCTCAGTAGAACTCTATAGCCAGGTACTGAAAATGCCACTAGGAATGTGGTTTTCATTAAACTTTATCATTTAT